AACTTAAAAATTAGCCAGGCATAGTGGTGTATGCTACTCGGGAGACTGAGGCAGGAAGATCTCTTGAGCCCAGGAGTTTGAGGCTACGTTAAACCATGATTGCACCACTGCACTCCAGCCTAGACAACAGAGCAAGACACTGTCTCTAAAAATAAAATGAGACTGTAGTAGTTAGATCCAGAAGAGACATTGAGAATGAGGAGGACACCAACACCACCTCTTGTTCTGAAATATTTTGGGAGTGGAAGAATGTGCTATAACTTCTGCATGACAATTTTTCAAGGGAACCACTTCCTATAGAGGAGACTTAGTAAGTGTTGCAGAGAGGGTTCACTGAAGTGGTGAATAAGGTAGGGAAGTTTGTCTCCAAAAATAGGGTTCTGATGACATCCTCTAGCTAAAGTGGTGTGACCCTAGGGTAGCACCTTGACTTCAGTTAGTTGAAGCTTTGACTCTAATTTGGAGTCTCCTCAGCACTTTGCTATGTGTAACTTTCTGTTCTGCCCTGGAAACCAAACTAGTTTCTTACTTGGAATAAAAAAGTTGCCTCATTTGACATTCTACCCAGACTACAGAGGGTGGAGCATAAAGCAGAGTTCCCTTATTAATCATGTTTTGTTTGTTTGTTTGTTTTTTGAGTTGGAGTCTCCATCACCCAGGCTGGAGTGCAGTGGCACGCTCACGGCCACCCCAGTGTCAACCAGCTGGGCTCAGGCGATCCTTCTGCCTCAGCCTTCCAAGTAGCCAGAACTACAGGTGCCCGCTACCATACCTGGCTAATTTTTTTTTGATTTATTGAATAGATGAGGTCTTGCCAAGTTGCCCAGGCTGTTCTCAAGCCCGTGAACTCGCAATCACCTAACCTCGGTCTCCCAAAGTGCTGGGACTACAGGCTTGAGCCACCGTGCCCAGCCAACAAAGTTTCCTTATTAATCGTGCTGATACTGTTTTAGGATGTTTGGATTCAGGTGTGTGTGTGGGGTGTTGAGTACTGAATTAAAGTCACATACACACCTCAAGCAAGTTCTTGTCATTTCTGCTGGAAAACCTGCAGGAAACATAGGATCAAGGAAGGAACTGAATGATTACCATCCACCACAATCCCCATCTCAAGAGGAGGAAAAATGTCATGCAATTGAGGGAAAATAGGAACAATTAAGAGAGCTTGGTTGTTAAAAAGCTGTAGGTAAAGACTTGATTCTTCTAGTGTGGGTAAAGTCAGGCAGTTTCCCTCAATTCTGTTACCTTTCTGGGGATTCTTTTTTTTTTGAGTTGGAGTCTCACTCTGTCTCCCAGGCTGGAGGGCAGTGGCACCCACAGCCTCAACCTGCTGGGCTCTGGTGATCCTTCTGCTTCAGCCTTCCAAATAGCTGGAACTACAGGTATACACTACCACGCCTTGCTAATTTTTGATTTATTGTAGAGACAAGGTCTCACCAAGTTGCCTAGGTGGGTCTCAAATCCACGGGCTCAGGCAATACACTCACCTTGGCCTCCCTTAGTGCTGGGATTACAGGCTGAGCCACCGAGCCTGGCCCTCAATAGCCTCTTAACAGGCCTCCCTGCCTCTACTTTTGCCCCCATCCAGCCTGCGCTTCATTTTCAAAAATTCACATTTGACTATGCCACTTTCTTTCTTTCTTTCTTTTTGAGTTGGAGTCTCACTCCACACCCAGGCTGAAGTGTAGTGGCACACTCACAGCCACCCCAGTGTCGACCTGCTGGGCTCTGGTGATCCTTGCGCTTCAGCCTTCCAAGTAGCTGGAACCAGAGGCACGTACCACCACACCTGGCTAATTCCAGGCTGGGTGACAGCATGAGACTCCAACTCAAAAAAAAAAAAGAGAGAGAGACAGAAAGAGGAGATTCACCTCCCCAAGGCAGGAAAGGGAGCCAAAGCCAGGAGGCAAGGTGACAGCCATAACTCAAAGAGCACATGACCATACCAGAGTCTAGGAAGGCAGTGGCAAAACTAACTTTTTGATTTATTGTAGAAATGACCGGAGCCCGCAGGCTCATTACCTGCCTGGGCAACTTGGCAAGACCTCATCTCTACAATAAATCAAAAATTACCCGGGCGTGGTAGTGCATGCCTGTAGTTCCGGCTACTCGGAAGGCTGAGGCGGAAGGATCACCGGAACCCAGCAGGTCGAGGCTGCGGTGGCTGGGAACAGCCACTGTACTCCAGTCCGGGCGACAGAGTGAGACTCCAACTCCCCCCAAAAAAAGAAATGAGGTCTTGCCAAGTTTCCCAGGCTGGTCTCGAATCCATGGACTCGGGCAATCTTGCTTCAGCCTCCCACATAGCTGGGATTACAGATGCTAGCCAAATATAACTTTTGACTCCTCAAAAGCTTAACCTACTAATGGCCTGTTGTCAACTGGACGCCTTATCAATAACATAAACAGTCTGCATGTATTTTGCATGTTATATGTATTTTATTCTGTACTTTTACAATAAAGTAAGCTAGAGAAACCATTCATTAAGTAGAAGTGGATCATTACCAAGGTCTTTCTTCATCCTCATCATCTTCATGTTGAGTAGGCTAAGGAAGAGGAGGGGTTGATCTTGCTGTCTTGGATAGAAGCGAAATAGGTGGAGGAGGTGGAAGGGGAGGGAAGAACTCTGGGTGCAACTTTTTATTGAAAACAGTCTGCATATAAGTGAACCTACGCAGTTCAAACCCGTATTGTAAAAGGGTCAACTGTACCCAGATGCTGAGCAGGGAATAATGGGGGGAAGAGGACTAATTAGCTTATCTGAGCCAATCAGGCATACTTAGGTCTATTTAAAGAGAAGGCAGAGGCCGGGCCCTGTGGCTCACACCTGTAATCCCAGCACTTTGGGAGGCTGAGACGAGAGGACTGCCTGAGCCCAGGGGTTCGCGACGAGCATGGGCACCTTGGTGAGACCTCTTCTCTACAATAAATTTAAAAACTGGCCAGGCATGGTAAGCGCGCATCTGTAGTTCCAGCTACTTGGAAGGCTGAGGCAGAGGGTTCACCTAAGCCCAGCAGGTTAAGGCTGTGGTGGCCGTGAGGCTGCTTGGTTCCCTACCTAGAACTTGCCATATCTCTATTTCCTAACTCTTTCTAGTGGCCTCTATTTAGGAAATGGCCTCATGACCCTTCTTTGTGTGTGTAGGCCCAACAATCTTTCATGAGCAGGCTTATCCAATCTTGATGGGGTAAGATGGAAGAAGGTAGAGAGGAAACAGCACAGGCTTTAGAGTTTTTCCTTTCTAAGATACAGTCGTTGTGTAGCTTGTTCCCTAAGGTTTTCATAATGATGTGATTCTGGACAGAGTTTTTGACTTTGGGATTCTCTTGCTGTACAAAATGAGTACTCATATCATAGGTATCAGAAAGTATAAGCCACTGTTTTGCACCTTGAGGGTAATAGTACAGTAGTGCCTTAGGAAGTCATGGTGTTACTAAAAGGAGTTTGGAAACCCATTAGCTCTGCTGTCATCTATAGACTGGTATACATCTTCCGTCTTTATGTACTACTATTTAAATAGATGTAACAGCACTTTGGGAGGCGGAGGAGAGAGGATTGTGTGAAGCCAGGGGTTTGAGACCAGTCTGGGCAATTTGACGAGACCTCATCTCTACAATAAATCAAAAAATTAGCCAGGTGTGGTGGTACACGCCTGTAGTTCCAGCTACTTGGAAGTCTGAGGCGGAAGGATCACCTGAGCCATCAGGTCAAGGCTGTGGTGGCCGTGAGCATGCCACTGCATTCCAGCCTGGGCAACAGAGTAAGACTCCAACTCAAGAAAAAAAAGATGTGTAAATTAATAAAATGTACGCTTAGTATCATTAAACATGTAGTAGTTATCTGTCATTATTTGTTTTCTCAGTGGAGACTGTACTGAGGTATTGTCTCATGGGAGTCCATGGAAGTTTTAGATCCTGAAAAGGGATTCACATAATTTAAAAGGTTGGGAATTTCTACTCAAAGCCATTTTGAGATGGGAGAATTCACAACACAAGTCAGAGTGTAGTTGTTAAGCGCTGCACATTTAAGAGACAATTCATGGAGAGGGAGAGAGAATATCAAGAAAGATGAAACTCCTGGTGTATGGCAGGCACTATAAGTCTCCCATTCATCCATATCCTCATGGCCCGCCCTTAAAGGCTGCCACTGTTAACAATTCTGTGCGTACATTCCAGGAAAACCTATGTGTATATACATTTATTTATTTATTTATTTATTTTGAGTTGGAGTCTCACTTTGTTGCCCAGGCTGGAGTGCATTCGCACCCTCACAGCCATTACAGCCTCAACCTGCTAGGCTCAGGTGATCCTTCCACCTCAGCCTCCCAAGTAGCTGAAACTACAGGCATGCACCACCACGCGTGGCTGATTTTTTGATTTATTGTAGAGATGAGGTCTTGCCAAGTTGCCCAGACTGGTCTTAAATCCGTGGGCTCAGGCAGTTCCCTCACCTTGGCTTCCCAAAGTGTTGGGATTATAGGTGTGAGCCACCGTGCCCAGCCTATTTTTTTTTTTCTTTTTGAGTTGGAGTCTCACTCTGTCGCCCAGACTGGAGTGCAGTGGCCGCTCCCGGCCACCGCAGCCTCGACCTGCTGGGCTCCAGCGATCCTTCTGCCTCAGCCTTCCAAGTAGCCGGAATTACAGGCATGTGCTACCACGCCCGGCTGATTTTTTGATTTATTGTAGAGATGAGGTCTCGCTGCCCAGGTGGGTCTCAAACCCGCGGACTCGGGCAATCCACTCACCTCAGCCTCCCAAAGGTGCGGGATTACAGGCTGAGCCACTGAGCCCGGCTCAGCCTATATTTTTTAAGTGTACTTTTTTTTTATAGTGCCCTTATCCTCTAGAAATTTTGGTATGAATATTCATATATTTGCTTTTAAGACCTATATTATAGTAAAAGTTTGTTTAAAAAGAAAAAGGCTTTTTCCTAAAGAATGGAAAATAAAAATGTTCCATTTAGATTTTATTTCCACAGCTGACAGGGAAACTTTTTTCAGGGTGAAGAGGGAGAATACAGTGAAGAGGAAAACTCTAAAGTGGAGCTGAAATCAGAAGCTAATGATGCTGTTAATTCTTCAGCAAAAGAAGAGAAGGGAGAAGAAAAGCCTGAAACTAAAGGCACTGTGACTGGAGAGAGGCAAAGTGGGGATGGACAGGTCAGTACATAACTTAGTCCTGCATTTTGGGGCTGGAACAAGGGCTCTAATCTTGGAGGAGTAAGGAGCCCTTTATCTGTCCTCCAGGAGAGCACAGAGCCTGTAGAGAACAAAGTGGGTAAAAAGGGCCCTAAGCATTTGGATGATGATGAGGATCGCAAGAATCCAGCATATATACCCCGGAAAGGGCTCTTCTTTGAGCATGACCTTCGAGGACAAACTCAGGAGGAGGAAGTCAGGTAACAGCCACTTGCATCTGCTACGGTCTAACGTGTATTTAGTGTTTACTGTATGCTAATCACTTTGCTAAGTGTTTTACCTGTATCACCTCATTTATTACTAACAAGAATATCTTAAGGTATTATTATTATCCCTCTTGTTCAAATGAGGAAAGTGAGACTTAGGATGTTTGTTAACTCTTGGTGGTGCAGCTAGATTTTGGACCCAGGACACTCTGTCTCGAGTCTGTGTTTTAATCGTTACACCTTTGTCTTAGTCTGTGACTCAAGGCCTCTGAGATAGGAAGTACTTACATAAGCTGTCTTTTAGGAGAGAGGAGATGTTTCAGAGGTGCTAAATGGTTTGAAATGAGGTTCTCATTTCTCCTTCTATTGTGTCTGAGCCTAGCAGGCCCTGAGATGCTATGACTCACTCCTGCTTTGAGGAGCCCTGCTTTGTATAATCTGTCTGGGAAGATGGGGAGACACATGAAGTTCCTGTTGTCTCCTTACCCGACCCCAATTGTTTCATGAACATCACTACTTGGTGGATCCTGCCAACCTAAGATGCTTTTCTTTCGTTTTGTCCAGACCCAAGGGGCGTCAGCGAAAGCTATGGAAGGATGAGGGTCGCTGGGAGCATGACAAGTTCCGGGAAGATGAGCAGGCCCCAAAGTCCCGACAGGAGCTCATTGCTCTTTATGGTTATGACATCCGCTCAGCTCACAATCCTGATGACATCAAACCCCGACGAATCCGAAAACCTCGGTGAGGACATTTTAGAGCCTAAACTATTGGTATTTTTAGAAAGCACTCTGTTTTCTAAATAACTTTCCAGCCATAAGTGAATGGGTGAGGAATATGGGACATCTCCCTGACTTTGCTTTATATCTTATTGATTGATTAAGTCCCAAGCTGAAGTGCAGTAGCACGATTATGACTCACTACAGCCTCAACCTCCTGGGATTAAGTGATCCTTCCGCCTCAACCTCGTGAGTAGCTGGGACTACAGGCATGCACCACCATGCCCAGCTAATTTTTTTTTTAATGTTTTTTTTTCTTTTTTTGTAGCAATCAGGACTCACTACATTGCCCAGGCTTGTCTTGAAATTTTGGCCTCAGCCGGGCACTTTGGCTCACGTCTATAATCCCAGCACTTTGGGAGGCCAAGGTGAGAGGATTTCCTGAGCTTGCAGGTTCCGAGATGAACCTGAGCAACTTGGCGAGACCTCATCTCTACTATAAATAAAAAATTAGCCTGGTGCCGGGCTCGGTGGCTCAGCCTGTAATCCCGCGCCTTTGGGAGGCTGAGGTGAGTGGATTGCCTGAGCCCGCGGGTTCGAGACCCGCCTGGGCAGTGAGACCTCATCTTCAATAAATCAAAAAAATCAGCCGGGTGTGGTAGCGCATGCCTGTAATTCCGGCTACTCGGAAGGCTGAGGCGGAAGGATCGCCGGAGCCCAGCAGGTCGAGGCTGCGGTGGCCGGGAGCGGCCACTGCACTCCTTTCTGGGCGACAGAGTGAGACTCCAACTCAAAAAAAAAAAAAAAAAAATTAGCCTGGCATGGTAGCTAAAGAATTCTGGGCTCAGCCGGGCCCAGTGACTCAGCCTGTAATCCCGCGCTTTGGGAGGCTGAGGTGAGTGGATTACCTGAGCCGGCGGGTTCGAGACCCGCCTGGGCAGCGAGACCTCATCTCTACAATAAATCA